TCTGTGCACATGTTGATAAACATGTGAACAGGAATTAAGAGAACCACAATTTCTGATGAGGCTAGAGACAGAGAATTAAACAAACACATCAATACGTTTCTTGAAGATTACATATTTCTGGGGAAAAAAATTTGCCAGTAATAGGTTATTAAAAAACCTGAGCAAACTCTATTACAGTAAAACTTTGATCTGATTTGAGTTTTCGCCACGGTGGTATCTAGGCTGCGTTCATACCGTGCGACGCAGGGCACGCCATTGCGTTGTGATCATTTCCTGAAAAATACGACCCCCCCCCTAATTCCATCTTCAAGTACGACCCCCCCATGTTACCTCTTCCCTAGATTTTTCCAACCTCCTACCACTTTGTCTATTTTTTCCCAAAAAATTTCTGGTTTTTTTACAAAATTTTGCTGTCGAGCGGGGGGGGAGGTCGCAGTACCTACGTACGTCCCAAGCACGTCCAGCACTCTGGCGCTGGTGTAGCATACTGACAATACCTACGAGGAAGGGGCGATGATAGGAGCTACGATCACCGCCCACAAGGACACCATGAATTTATAAACAATGGAAAGGACTTACGACTGACGATGAATAAACAGAGGAAAGCGAAAGTATACTTCCGCGACTTTTCTTGATTGCGCCAAGAAGCACATTTGCTTGCAATTGGGAAGCCCTATCTAGAAGTTACACCTTCCAAACACCTGCGTGAAAGCCCCCGTGCATGGCGCATTGCAGAGGTGATGCCAATTGGCGCCCAATGGCCTATTTCCTGATACCCTTTGCGAAAACATGTGTTTTAGAAGCATACCAAAGTCTTCAAGCCAACTGGAGGTTTCATGGCCTCGGAGGGGCTGATTTTTCGTGTCGTGGGGGGGTTACGAAATGATCACAACGGGGAATTTTTTCGAATAGCAGGCCTAGGAAGAAAATTAAAGCCTTGCTGGAAAGTAGAAATCTTCAAGCTTCCGGCACAATTCTTTTTTTTTTACGAAAGGCCGTGTATGAAGCTTGCCATGGACGTCCAAAGCGTAGCGACTCGCGGTTCGCAAAATGATCACAGATGGATCACAACGATGATCACAACGGGGAAAATCACTGATCGGAAACGTTATTCAAAAACCGCTCAATTCAGTTGACTAAGAAGCCAACCTAGCTCTACTCATCTACTTACCCTCTCACAGCTTTCACTTTCACGAAGTTGATGGGTGCTTCGGAGGGGTACTTTCACGTGTTTGGCTTGAAATTGGCTCCAGGCCGTAAAATAGCGCGCACCAATGAGCTTGTATGAGCGCGCTGACCGCGAACAGCCAAAATTCAAAAGTAATCCATAGTTCCGGTTCTCAGCTGGCCTGGTGTGATTTTTTTCTTATCCATTGATTGAATTATTTTGATTGTTTATTTTTGTTGAGTTTGATTTTGTTTTGTTGAGTTTTTTTTTTTTTGATTTTTGTGAGGAAATTGCTCAGGATTCAATTTCTCCGGTTTCATAGGTAGCTTTTGCAATGGATTCTTTTCTAGATTTTGCGGATTAGTGGATTGGGATTTATCTAGACCAGATGAGGAGGGTTGGTGGGCGAAGTGTCTTGAAGTTTTTTTGTGAGGAAGGAAAAAGTTTCAGCAATATTTTTTTAGTTCTTGGACCTAGGAATATTTTGATAGTGACTAGTTCTATTTATTGTCATCTACATCGTCCTTTTGAGCTTCTTTTCACTTGTACCGTGTATCACCGCTCTCTCCACTTCAACATGGGCCATGCGTTTACGACCCCCCCTTCATCGCGGGCAAATACGACCCCCCCCGTTGTGATGATCACAAAGATGGCGTGCCCTGGTGCGACGGCGTCGTCAACGTCGACGTAGCCGACGAAAGCGCCGTAACCGACGTAACCGACGACTAATTCACGAAGATTACATACCTATCGATTCGACGAACGAAACCGACGTTTTCGACGAAACTGACGAAACCGGACGTAAGTGACGAAAGCGATGTAACCGACGAAAGCGACGTTTTCGACGAAAGCGACGAAACCGACGTAACCGACGACTACAAGATTAGATACGGATCGAGTGATATGGCAATGCCCAACTGGCAACACGCATTGCAAATGAGTTGAAAAAGCCCAATATCAGTCATTATCTACCAATATCTGGTCCCTCTTGCTTACTAGACTTCTAACCGTGAGAGGCTGCACCATATCAATGAGGACCGCAGTTGCGGCATCAGAATGGGTAAAGTTGAATTAGTGCGTATGGTCCTTAACACTCGGAAGAAGCATAACTGCAGAGTCATGGGTGGCACGAAAATGAGAACATGACATTATTGTACATTTCAGTGTGTGTCGCACGATGAGTCGATGTTATCCACCGGACAGAACGTCCCACTCCCATTACTGGGTTCCCTCCTTATTTGCCTGATCAACTGCGCAACCCTAAGGCTGCGTTTATACTTTGCGGCAGCGTAGCGTAGCGCTTCCAGCGTACGCCAGCGGCAGTGCCGAAGAGAGGATGCATATCGATCTAGCTTCACCAGCGTCACCAGCGGCACGCTGGCGTACGCTAGCGTACGCCAGCGTTTCTCCAGCGTTTCACCAGCGTTTTGCTAGCGCTTGCAGCGGCAGGGGAGTAGAGACTATGTGGCCGTGAGAGAAGCGGAATCGACGTGTATTGTAGAGACCATATGGCCGTCGGAGACGCAGAAGCGATGTGCATTGTAGAGACTATGTGGCGTCGGAGACGCAGAAGCAATGTGCATCGTAGAGACTATGGGCCGTCGGAGACGCAGAAGCGATGTGCATTGTAGAGACTAAGGGCGAGTGAGAGACGCGCAATCGATGTGTTTTGTACCCTCCAGCTCTCCCATAGTCTCTACTCCCTGCGCCGCTGCAAGCGCTAGCAAAACGCTGGTGAAACGCTGGAGAAACGCTGGCGTACGCTAGCGTACGCCAGCGTGCCGCTGGTGACGCTGGTGAAGCTAGATCGATATGCATCCTCTCTTCGGCACTGCCGCTGGCGTACGCTGGAAGCGCTACGCTACGCTGCGCTACGCTACGCTACGCTGCCGCAAAGTATAAACGCAGCCTAATAAATTCTTGATTGATGATTTTCTCGATTACTATATACTATAGACTATAGACTATTACTATACTATAGACTATATATACTGGGAACCACATCGATTCCACGTAAGCCACGTGTCCATTGTCATGGTATTTCTCTCGAAAACTGAAGAAGATAGGTTGTAAGGTCACTCAAGAGGATGGAAGGAGATAGGGAAAATGTTTACAAACAGAAAAGGAAATAAATAAGTGATGTGAAAAAAGTTGTGGGGAAAAACCATCTACGAAAAGCTTATTCTTGGCACAGTCGCCGAAATCGTCAGTTTCGTCGTTTTCGATAATCGATACGTATCTAATGTTCGCGAAGTAGTCGTCGCTTTCGTCGAAAACGTCGGTTTCGTCGAATCAATACGTATCTAATCTTCGTGAAGTAGTCGTCGGTTACGTCGGTTTCGTCACTTACGTCGCTTTACGTCGTTTCGTCCGTTACGTCGGATCGATACATATATATTCTTCGCGAACTAGTCGTCGAAAACGTCGGTTACGTCGACGTTGACGACTCGTCGCACGGTATGAACGCAGCCTTATCTGATCGATGCTCCTCTTGTGTTGGACGGTAACATAGAGAAAAAGTCTACTTTTATTTTTGCCAAATTTTTTAAAATTTTGAACGTCATGAGTAGGTCATATCTTTTCCTTCTCCATTCAAGGGTTTGTAGGCCATATTCAGTGTTCCTTACTGACCCTCGTGGAATATTAAGGTAACTTAGTCCTGAGCATCTAAGCATTAGTTTGCGAGTGAAATTGTTCTGTACACTTTCGAGTGCTTGGATATCCTTTTTTAGATAGGGACTGAAAACAGTGGTCCCACACTCTAATATTGGACGCACGTATAGCTTATATGAACGGACTAGAATGCTTGGATCTCTAGTCCGAGGAGTTTTAAATAAGTGGAAATGTGGAAATCGACACGCGACCACAATTAGTAGGAAAGTGGCTGGCGTCGCGCCAAATCCAACCCCCTCCTCTGACACGCCTCAGCATCCTCAGCGAACAAGGCTTCATGTAATCTCTTTTCATGTCTTTCTCCCAGCAAGATTTATTTATAAGATTTGCAGAAAACCTTATTCGGAGAAATAGAACCTTTCAGTAATCGGCCCGGGGCTTCTATTATTTATAGAATCTGAGTTGATTGCTATTTCAAATTCAGGCTCTATTTGTCTTGGGGTGCTGATGTGCAGGGTCGGATTTATGTGAGCGTTGTAGTAGGTGCTGAGGGAGAAGAGAGAAAGCTCTGAAGTGGGTGCTACTTATCCTTCGAGTAAGATGGAATGTACGGTGTGGCTCACTTATACCGGGATTTCTTCCTCCCTCAACAACGCACTGGCTCCCCTCGAGACACATGACGTCGACATCGGTCTCTATCGAACAGGTCGTTTATTTTTACATTTAAAAGGTACCCACACCCACATACCGAGATATTTTGATTATAGTACAAGGTGGTTCCACTATCAACAAGTTTGTCTTCGGATGTTCCAACACCTGCTCGGGAAGACAGTGCACTATGCTCATCTGAAACGGAAGTTGTTCAGTTGACTTAGGAGGACTAGTGCAATCAGTTACTAGCACAGTGAGTATGGGTACTCTGAAGTTAGAATGAGTAGTACACTTACCGATACCTGTATTTCCATCATTTATGCAGCTGTCAGTTGTTGACAGACCTCTAAATACCATGGTTAACAGTCTTTTTCGCTGGAGGCGTGTCGAAGAGGCTAGTTTTGGTGCGCTGCCAACCCATTCTCTCAAAAAAAAGGGAAGGAACGGGCTGACGCTGCGCCAAACTCATCCTTCCTGACACGTTTCATCATCCGCAGAGATAAGACTCTATTAGAAGAAGCCTAACCACAAGATAACCATCCTGTTGGTAGAGTAGAGCAAAACAAGCTCACCCATTTTTAATTGAAGTTTTTTCGTAACTCATTTTCATCTCGTTCCCCGTCTCTTGGCTCAGCATCGGCTGAAAAAAAAACTGTTCACGTATTCGTCAGGAACTGAAGACCAATTATCGAACAAGTGAATGAAATGTTCTTCTTGGATCCCTTTCGCTCGAAGTCGTCAAGTATGAACGCTAGCTCATATCAAGCAACATTCGTATAAAACGCCTGACGTTATCAGTAGGCACTACTTATCCCGGAGATGGAAGGGCGTGGTTGCGCACTTTATTTGAGCATGGTGACGAATGTGTTTTTGTTGAATATCCCCATTTGAGACAACTGTCACCCTGGACGAAGACATGCTTACAATAGTAATAAAAAGGCAACCTAAGGCTCCCACCAGAGCACAGAAGCAGCCACGTGCAAATGAAGCGCGCGAGCACTCCCACCACCTTCGGTTAGGGAGTATCTAATGGAAGTGAGCAAACAGTACTTCATCGCTTCCTTCTAATGTCATGTCCGAAACGCCACACCGTGACTCAACCTTCTCCTCGTTAGGTGCTTGTGCACTCAAGCCCAGTCCCTGCTGTGTAGATGCCACCTAGAAAATCAGTGCATTACGCCATGCCAGTCAGCTCTCAATATATGAGGGATCCTATGTTAAGGAAAAAACGCCGACCACGGGTTTCACGGACTGCGGATTCGTCTCTTTGCCTGGATCTTGTTGTAAGCCGTCCGTAGCCACGCCGCTGACGATGTCTCCCTTCGATGTCGGAAAATACTTATCGAACTCCGATTTGAGCTTAACTTCGCTGAAAAACATCAAAGATTGATCTCCGTCGTATGCATCTATTAGTTAGCAGGCTTTCCTTTCATGCATACCACTGAATGCGCAAAATAACCGAAACACAGCGGGGTGAAAAGAACTAGAATGGCAGTATCTGATACTTTAACGGAAAGCGGCACCAAATCTTATGGGAGACAAGATCCCAGGATAAAGGCGGGGCCGCGTTCATACCGCTCGTCGGCCTTTTGAGCGTCCCGACTCCGACCGCTCAGGGGGGGGGTATAGGTACTGACCTAGCTATTTGGGAGAAATGCTCCATTTCGAGTGAAACGATCAAAACGCTCCAAACTAGTGCTAGTGATATACTTACCCCTTGCTTTTCGCTCAAGACCCTCAACACAACTACAACTCTCGAAACGCTCAGAACGCTTGTGTTCTTCCCAAAACGCTAGATCGATAGGCATCGTATATGTACTTTCCTTTTCACCGAGAAAACTAAAAACGCTCGAAACGCTGATAGTGCCCCAAAGGCCGACGAGAAGTATAAACACAGCTGGATGCAATACAAAACTCTGGATTTTAGATGCCTGAGAAATAGCCTCAGAAAAAGGTAGCTTCTAATATAAGGATATCTACTCATGAATTTTGAGTCTACACTCCAGAGTGGAATACATTCAAGAGGATACCGCACAGTGGTTTCGTAACTATTCTGACTGTTTCTGATTACTAGAATATGCTTCCTCGTTTTCAGGTAAGCTGTTGGACTGAAGTTTGGAATGTATCATAAGTTGGAAGTATTCTTACCACCGCAGTGTCTCTGATTCAGTAGGGCGTGACCTTTCCAAATCGAGAAGTGTTGGGTTTTCCACAGTGTCCGGTTCGCCGATCTGAAAAGGATATATCTGAACTCCTTCTATACTAAAATGGCTGTGAAGGCGGCGAAGGTCCATAGGGGAGAGATGCAGAGAGGGCATTCGGCACTTTTGCTAGTTCCCATCGATCAAGAGCCATTTCGTGAGCTCACAAGAGTTGACAGGTTCTACCATGGTGGACTAGACGAGCTTGCTCCAGATTCACAAGAGTTCACAGGTTTCACCAGAGACATGTAAACCGAAACTGGTGAAGCAGCGAATGTCCAAATTGCCCCTTCCCGTCGCCGAACTGCGCCGAACGCGGCTTTACCGATACAATTTTTGTTGTTCAACTATAGGCTTAGAAAAGTTTGGTGCGTGGCACAAGACTTGAACCAGCAATCTCCGGAACAAAGGAGTATAAGACGGCTGCTGATCGCTGATATTACAGGTGAATATGTAGCTCATATAATCGCACCTACATCTGTAGTTGACATCGCCCAACCTATTGGAGCGGTGTCAGGAGGTAGAATGAGCCCTCCTCCAGCTAGCTTGCTCTACTAATAGTGAACGGTTTATGGTCGATCCAGAAGGAAAATAAGCAGCGTTAGGAATGGCACGGATGGGCTTATTCCACACCTCTTCAACGACTGACTGCGACAATTCCAATTGTAGCTCAATCTTCACCTTGTCACTCGACTCCATGCTGCTTTCCTCATTTTCCTTTGCAGTCCCGAGAAACACATCTCCACCCATCTGTTCCTGACAGCCATCGCTGTGAACATCGCTCTGAAAATTTAGAAGCATTTCTCAAAGATCATCCCACCCACAACAGATGGATTATCCCATTTTTTGGGGTGGAAGGCGCGTTTAGTTGCATTGTCACGACAACGAAACCAAAAGTTTCTGAACATAGCAGCAGCCTCACTTGCATGTTGTACTCTTCTTCGGCTCAAATTTTGCGATAGTGAAGATTTGGTGATTTGGAAACTGGACGACTCGAGAGACTGCGCGACGAGGAAAGCACAGGTATTGATCTTGCGAGGATTGGGCGATTTGGCGATGCAGCGTTTTAGGAGATCGCCAAGTCTCGCAAATGTGCTCTTCTTCGCAGTCGCCAGATCGATACCTTCTTCGCGGTCCAGTCTTTCAAACGTCCAGTATCCCAAATTGCTGAATCTCCACAGTCGCAAAGTATGAACGCGGCCTTATTGCTCGTATTATATTACTGCATTTATTATTCAAATCAAATCACCCCACATAGACAAGTAAACAAAAAATATATTAGGCGACAATGCGTTCCCAGAAGATAGGTTATACTACGGCGCTAGCGTAGTTTGGGGACAGCACCACTCGCCAGCGCCTCCCTACAGAGCACATCGTAAGTTGGGAATTTTGGCCGAGTTCGCACGACCCCCTTTTGGTACAGCATCGTTGTGCGAAACCCATAGGGGGTCGTACTTGGCCGCTGGGGAGGGGGTCGTAATCTCAAGGGTCACTCAGAGCCGGAGCAATGCTTCGACATTTCAGTTGATAGTGGGAGTGGAGCTATGGAAGTCAAGATGTTTAAAAAAATGAAGTTTATTATGAGTGTATTCTTTACAGCTTTAAATGCTACGTTTAACAGCCCTCTTTTCATGGGAAATCCCCAAGAATGGGTTCGTACTTGGCCGCGGGGACGTGGGGAGTATCGCAAAAGTAGGCTCGCTAGGCATCAAACAGTACAAAGGTGTCATTGCTAAGGGTAATGGAACGGACGGAAAGCTTCAGAAGACCCGGATGTAAATAGGAATAC